AACATAGTCTTCTTTGCCATGCACTTTTGCACGCTTGCACACCAAGCATGTCTTGATTAAGTCTACAATGGTCGCTTCCATGCCGGGCCAATATAGAACTTGGCGCATAGCCTTGTACAGCCGAAAACTAGCTGGATGTCCTAGGCTTGCATTGCAATATTCACCTCGCGAAATCAGCGGTTAAGGTAGAGATGATTCGGACCATCGCCCGAGTATGTTGACGTCTCCATCTTGATAGCGTCATGGTGCAAAGTGCGCGAGGGAGTCAATACTCGCCGATTTTCTTCGGCGAGCTCGCGCACCATAAAGTCTAGTATGGAGGCACGTTGATCATCGAGCGTGCAGCGACGTCACGATAGATTCACCAGACACCACCGCGAGGCGGTGTTGTGTCTGCCACTCCACCGAGGTGATGAGATGAAAGAAGTCAGAAGGCTCCAGCGAGACCGCTGCAGCCACCGAAGACTCGTCCATGTTCATCTCAGATCTGGTCATTGGAAGGACCAACAAGTGCTACGAGGTATACGGGATAAGGACCCGTTACACTTCAACACTAAAAGGGCGTTAAAGAAGCGCTCTCGATGAACATGTAAATGTAAGTCTGTGTTATTTTTGTTTAGTTTAAATTCCCATAAGTGCAAATGTGTTTCCTAGCTCATGGTAATCACTCATACGGAAGTCAATTTATTATTGGCTAATTATTGGGTCTGGCACCCCAATAATAAAAAGACGCGCAGTATCCTCTACTAGGATACTGACATATGACTACTTATGATATTATGTAATTTTCCTATAACTACCTATGTAATCGATTGCCCCAATACATTATCAAGTTCGCTTTTCTGGCCTGTCGGTCAACAGTTAAAGTTGTGAATCCGCTAGCCTCATTGTATGAAAATAGATGGAACTTTTTAAACCTTGCCATTTAAAGAAAAATGAAATTGTATTATTTTTTTGTTTGTGAACCTGCGAAAGAATTTTTAACATCACCTTAAAAAAATTCACGTGAAATGTCCCACCTAATATATTGACAAACTAATTGGCTGCTGCTACATCTATCGTTTTCCTGGCTGGCTACTGATGGGAAATCCCTATAGTGAGCGTTGTGACCTTGATTAAAGCTGACAACTTTAGCTTTTTAACCATTCTTCAAATACTGAATCTACAATGGGTAAGAAAGTCGTGACATTTGTAACGGGCAGGTCTGATAAGGTACTTAATACCTGTCGCTCGGGTAAAACACACCATGTGTCACCACCTTGCGTATGTGATATACACTAAGTGTATTCACATTTTCATTGGTGAATCCCAGCTGGGAATAGGCGTCATCAAATGGCGTCAGTCAGTGACGTCATTGAGAGAGCTTAGATATAATTAAGCTCGCATGTTGGAATGCGCATCTATATAGATGTCACCCATCATTACATCTTAACCAATCAGTAGTTAGATTTATATTTAGTTGAATTCTATTAAATATAAATCAGTCTTGAATTTGCTTAAACATAAGCACTACGCACGAGAGGCTGAAGAAGCTTCTGCGTGACGTCGGTGCCTTCTTGTTAAGAAGTTCGTTGCACTGTCGCTTAAGCGAGAGGCAACTGGTGGTACGACTGCTTAAGCAGTCGACCAACCACACAACTACCCTCGTACGCGAAGGTAAGACGGTCTTACCGCTTCCTCGCTTGTGCTGAAGGTGTGTGCTAGTAGCACGGTTCTAGAAGTGCCCGTCTACACTTGGTAGCACTAGTAGTCCTTCCCACGACCCGTCTCTCTGAGAATGCGTGTGGTTAAGATGGTCCTTAATATGGACTGTAGTGACTTCCCTCACCTTTCCCAACATCATAGGGAGTTAGCAGAGCATATGGCGCAGGAACTTGGTGAACAAGCCCTGGTCAATCTCTTGCATTGTCCTCCTGGGCAACATGTTTCTCAGTTGGAGCAATTTGAGGCGTTTGTGCTCGGAAAGCGTAGAAACGCGTCCGAGGTAAACAGCCAAGCCACCGCTGAGTCCATCAATAAGACTCAGGATGATCTTAGGCTTGAGCAGGCACGGAATGAGGCGCTCAACAGAACTGTTGAGACGCTCTCTGCCCGACCTGCTCAACCGAGGCCCATTTGGATGGACCCTCCGAAGCTCGATGGAACTAGCCCTCACACGATTGTTCACTGGCTATTAGCTGTGGAGAAATGTGGAGTGGCGCAGCTCATCAAAGATGACACCAGGATGGTGTCGTATGCCATGTCCAACTTGCGTGGCAAAGCGTCAGATTGGGCATACTCTGCGCTGATGGCTAATGCTGATGCATTTCCATCATGGGCGATCTTTAAATTCTAATTTCGCACCATGTATCAGCCCCCTAACAACGAAGTGTTTCTTATAGCGCGCTTCTTTGGAGCACGACAGGCGAAACGCTCTCTGCAAGAATATGTGCAGGAGATGCGTTCGATATTATTGTCCATTAGAGTGACGTTCAGTGTTTCGTGGATGAGAGAATTGCCATCACACGTAAAGTTCGTGACGCAATGGCAAGCGCATAGACAACCAAAAACAATATGCGTACCAACATGGTCGCAAACACAATGAACACTTCAGTGTGGGGGACAAAGTGCTATTAAGTACTGCTACCTTACCTAAACATGCAATTTATGTATTACCTGGTGGTATTACTAAGCTATAGCTCCAATTCATTGGGCCCTTTACAGTAGTTAAAGAAGTTGGAGACCTAAATTATAGGCTCACTCTCCCACCGTATATGAAGACGCACCCCGTATTTTACGTGGGTCGTCTGAAACGGTATGTTATCCAGAAGAGATCACATATCCACATTGGTCTAACGAGACCGATGGTGACGTCGACTGTGAGTCGAGCGTCGCGACCGATCAGGCGACGAGGAAGTCGAATGACTTACCGTATACGAGGGAGACGACAGAGGAATCGGTGATCGAGGAGGACTCCGCGCTTGACGCGGGTCTCTCATCACAGTGGCTTCAAAAGATCCAAGCAAAGTTTTAGGGGGTCATACCTCTGACGGTCCTTCGCTCTCACATTTTGTAAATACAAAGTCAGTCGCGAGACTTGATTCGAGAGATCCGCCATCTCTCTCTTTAGCGAACGTTCTCTGCCTGCGACTGAACGGCAGAGGGTTAGACAGGCGCAAGTTGTTAGGCGTAATCAGCGTCCCTACCGGGTACCACCTGTGTTGGTGGATGCGGGTGGGAACAAACGCTTCCTCGTTGGAAGGGTGTTTGCTCACCGCCATGCGAAGCAAAAGCTTCAAATCCTTATCCAATGTAAAGGATATCCGAAGAGTTTCGACTCTTGAAAACCAGTTGACGCTTTGCGCGTCGACGTGCCTAGGCTGGATGCTGTTTACGAGCAGAAGACCTGATACACTCACTCTGCTAGGTCCTGATGGACTAGCAAGGGCAGCGTAGCGAGAAGGTGTAGGGGTATGTTATCACCTGATATTTCCCTCACATGCGTCATAGCAAAGCTGATACGCTGCATCTGCATGCGGTCTAAAACGGCGTAGGAACTCTGCTTCGTATTTGTCGGTTGTTTCGTTAGAACGCTACACGACGGGGATAGGAAAAGAACGACCTCGTGCTTTACCCTGTCTTTTCCACGACGGAAAGACGCTACACAGTTTATAAGCGTCAATAGTGGTACGCTCCAGGAACGTCGCACTATTACCAATCGAACGTGATTATTCGCATGGCGGTGTCATCACTGGCAAACCATCACTCATGTACCCGCCCTTGCGACGGCGTGCTAGAGAGCCGACTGTGAAGTCGAAGGAGCTTTTTGCTCACCTCGCCTGAGTTTGACTCTCCATATTGAATTGTCAAGACGTCAGACGTAGGGTTGGCAGAAGCGGTCGATATAAAATCGCCGACTGGCTGTTGAGTCGCGGATGTTTCCCCCTTTTGAAGCAGCGCACTTAGTTGCGATCGCTGCGCTCGTTGGCGCAGACGACTCGACATGACCCTCGCTGTCAGGAAGCATGGAAGTTTCCTGAAGGTTATGTGTCTCAAATGATGGGGACAAATGTCCCATCAGAGCACTGTGCTCATCACCACTTTGAGGTGATGGAAATGGAGTTCTCTCATTGTCGTCTACAAAAAGAATCAGATCTTTATCCACACAATGGTGGGTCGGATCTGTGTTCTCTGCTGACAAGCTGACATTAGATGTCGGCGTTGTCACAGAGACACTTAGTGACGGCTATGAGTTATCGCGGTGCGAGCGCTTTTTGTTGGTCTGCATGGGCGCCTTCGAAGGTTACTTGCCAGCCTTACCACGTTTTAGTGGCACCTTCTTGCTTTCAATATCTTGCAAAAAGTAAAAATCGCTCTAAAGAGTTGGATGGTGGAATGGGCCAATGTTTACACGAGTCCGTTAAGTATATAATACTAAATGGGGAATTTTAAAAGGGTTTGAGGTACCTTAGGCCTGCCACTTGGGTGCGGCACATCAATGTGACCCACCCTCGTTAATGTGATATCTATAGATCGATCACATCTGACGAGGATGACGCCCAGTTGGGACTTGGCGTCATGAAGGCGCCAAGGACGGCGAGCCTTAATATAACAAGCTTTCACGTAGGCCAAAGAGAAACGTATCCGATCTTTGCATTCAACCAGTCAGAAGTTAGATTTAATTATTTGCTACTAAATATAAGTCAGTCTTGAATTTGCTACCTACCTATCACTGCGCACGAGAAGCTTGTTAAGCTTCAGCGTGTAGTAAGTTAAGTACTTTTAGGAATTCGTTGCGCGGTTTGCTTAGGCGACCGGCAACAGTTGGTACAGCGCTTCGGTGCCGACCACCACCGCACGCGGAGGTAAGACGGTACATCGCTTCCTCAAGCTGCTTGGAGGTGTGTGCTCGTAGCACGTGGCAGCTTCTTTGAAGTGTTCGTCTACAGTTTTGCTTCCTATACAGCGTATAAACATTTAGTGTAGCTCTTTTTCTCTTAATTCTTAGTCTACAATCTTAATTACTCAGTCAAGTCGAATAAATGCTTCTGTACAAATATTTGAGCTTCTGGGACCGTCATTTCTACGTGGAAATTCAGACCAATGTCCACTGTAACGAGTGACGTGTCATCCACCTTAGCACGCGCGTGAAAACGCTCTCCAATATCGAGCAATGTTTGCAATGACTGAAGCTTTGAATGGGTCAATTCCTGCAACAATTCACGCAATTTCTGGTATTCGTGCACCTCCTGAGCTAATGCATCACGATGAGCGAGTGTTTGCCTAAGTTGCGGACGCAGAATCTCTTCGACAAAGGCAATGTAGCGCTGCAGAGCGACAGCCGAGGACTCGGAATCAGTCGTCATACTAATTGACTGGTGTGAAAATATAAAGCTGAGGACATGATGAGGGTTGGTGAAGCGCAACTGATACGAATGATAAGCAACGTAAGGACATTGAAGTGAGTCAGTTGCGTTAAGGGCTTTATTAAGTGTGACACCCAATTGATAGGGCTTCGGGTAGCAGCAAACTGCGCAACATAAGAGATCGCAACGAACAGCTTGTGTTGTAATTGTTGTCCGCACCGCTTTTTAGAATCTGACGTGCATCATTAGTTAGTCAGCCCCCACCAATTTCCACCACGGTTACTTGAACGTGCACCATAATCAAGCTAAGTTTATACGGCGGTATCTTAGTATACCGACCGCATCATTGTAATCTCACCTGTGGATGTCGTAGCCGAAAGGTCCCCTTATTGTCCTGTACATGATTTCTTGCTCTCATGCAGTCGACAATGTATGTTCTTTTTCTATATACAACACACAAAATGTGACACCTTCTTCAGTGTCATATATTGTGCTTGACTATGGTGCACGTAACGCTTGAGGGTGCTTGATCAGGCGACGCGTATTCGCCGCCTTGCCACCTCAGAATATCTAGGTGATCAATGTTGGGTCGATGTCACCATTCGCATGCCTCTTTTTGTGCAACAGCGGGGATAGGTCCTCAGGTTTATGAGGATAGTTAACAAATGCATTGAGAAATGGAGATACCCCACTCTCGGGAAAGCACAAGAAAATCAAAGTTGCTAATATTTTCTCCTTATATAAATACGACGTCGATCAGCTCAAAAGTTTTGGTCTGCTAATAGAAAACCTGTTGGATGAACTATAAACATGCGCGAACATCTATAGCTGGTTTATGCCCATCACACTCCTCTAAACTACCCGTAGCATACACCTGCACCCAGAAGTACTTGCTGGACGTGTTTTCATTGTACGCGTACGCCGATCCTATCATGGTGAAGTTTCCCAAGAGGTTGTCACGACTCTGGGTCTTCATCCACCAGTCCACGACAGCATCTACATCGGCGTTTGTCGAGTCAATGTTCTCCGCTAGACGTTCCCACTTGTAGCCAGCGTCGTTTACACGCTTTTCGGGGGTTGAGTCGTCGGTTCCGAAGTCCGACATGAAGTCAGACTTTGACTGATCCTTGACATGACGCTGTGCTGCAGCTTGTAGCTTTTTGTTCGAGCAGATCACCGGCAATCCATGAGCGACGCGCTCTTTATTGACCCGAGCCAGTAGAGCAGTGGCTAACTCATCCTTCTGGGAGTAAGTGGTGTCACTAAGGTCGCGGTGCGCTTGTTGTAAATTGGTTGCTTTGGATACAGCGTTGAATGTAGCACCGAGAGTAAGCAAAAAAAGTGTTGAAGATTGCATAATGGCAACCATAGCTGATTGACGAAGTAGGGCAAATTGGAGAATGCCATGTAGACAAAAGCTATAATTCGTTTGACGGAGCCAGTACTGCGAAGCATTGTGCCGAGACAGTTAACATGGAAATTACCTAATAGCAACCCACACGCAATTTGGACTTGCAAACAAGTGTCGCGGCATATCGGCTGAGACAGCGAAGTATGACTGACAAATTTCCGCACGATGACGAGATAGCCGAAAACATCGAACAAATGGTTTAGTGCGTCTCAATGTGACAACAACCGCTATCAAATTGTCGTGATTGTGACAATTTTACCACATAAATATGTTTTCTAGTGAGTTCGGCAGTACAAGCGGGAGGGGCACGAAACGCAAGAACCACTGAAAAGTCGGAGTGGTCACCACAGGACTACATTCCATTGTCCTCCGGTCTCGAACGATATTTTTGGCATTATCAAGGAAGGATAGTGTCAGCAACTTACATTTATGCATCAACATCTGCATCTATAAGGATTGCTGTAACCACTTCCCAATTCGCGCCTTCGAGCAACAACGGCCAAGAGACGAAGACCTTCAAAGAGCCGGTCAACCGGCCCCCTCCGACCAGGGCGGGAAGTCCCTCCAACGGGAGGCCCAGGATAAGAGGGGGGAGGTTTTCCCTCTGCTGCGTGCGCTATGGGGGGCAAGCGCAGCGTGCGAACCGTAAGGGGAGCACCAACCCTGTTACCCCCGGGGGGAGAGGATCGACGACCGCGGTTATCATTCCCTCTTTCCCCAATAGTTCCTGCTATTCTACGTCAGCCTTCAAGACGCCGATTCGATCGCTGAGCGCGAATCTCGGTCCCACGAAGTGAACTTGCCAAGAACGTGAATTGATCGGCCCGTCCAGGTGCATCAGCGGTCGATCGGGACTGATCGGTGTGGTGCCCGGCGCTTGTTGCGATCATTGAGCCACTGTTTACACCTCGGGCTGGATACCCGATTCCACGTGCCCTTTTCGGAGTGTCCCCCGTGACGCCCGACGTCTCGAGCCAGCAGATTAAGCCAGCGAGGCGAAGAATGACGAAGTCCTGGTAGAAGCACTCCAGACATCTTACCAATCCTTAATGTTTGAAATAGACGGTCTGTTCTTCTCAAAAAAGATTGCTGTACGCCTCTATCTGAGCACGCCAACCGTATAATGACTGAGACACGTTACAGCTGCACTAACTCATGGTGCGCCAACCCAGGATAAATTGCGGCAGGCTTTATTCTCCACGATGTTATCGACATATAACCGATTTTAAGTCAATGCTCTCCGCTACGACTGGTCCTCGCTTGTAGCCAGCGTCGGCTACACGCTTTTCGGGGGTCGAGGTTCCGATGTTCGACAAGAAGTCAGACTTTGACTGATCCTTGACATGACGCTGTGCTGTAGTTGCAGCATATTTTGCTTGAGTAGATCATCGGCAATCCATGAGCGACGCGCTCTTTGTTGACCCGAGCCATCAGATCAGTGGCGAGCTCATTCGTCTGTATGTTCGTCATATCACTAAGGTGTCCTCGCCAAAGATAGTTTGTGTCGAAGGTGCTCCTAGACGCTAAGACCTGTACGTACGCAAAGCACGCAGTCATCATCGCGGTGAGTGCACACCCTTTCATTCTGCGCCCCGGCAGTCCACTGGCCAGTTTCGGCCGGGGCCTCAGTGCAGAGGGCGTGTGTCACCGTCACCGTCGACGGAGACGGCGCCACGTACAGGTCTTACGTCTTACTAGCACCTTCGACCAAGCTACTTTGAGCGAGGCATCCTTCACCGACGTCAACGACCATACAGACAGAATGAGCGTCGCCACTCATCTGAATCGCTCGAGTCAACAAAGTCTGCGTCTCAGTAGATTGCCGATGATATACCGTAAACGTTGAACGTGCATGCGGACTCAACAATGCGTAGCGCATATCAACTGAATCAGGCAAAGTCATGAGGGCTAGTCGAAGATCGGAACTCTCGACCACATCCGATAAGCGTGCAGCCGACACTCTCCACCACGGGAACGTCCAGTCGGAGAGCCTGACTGTAAATATCCGTTAATGTCGATAACATCATGGCGAATAAAGCCTGCCGTAATTTATCCTGTGATGGCGCACCATAGTTAGTGCAGCTGCCACGTGTCTCAGTCATTATACGGTTGGCGTGTAATGAATGAGACACGTTACAGCAATCCTTGAGAGAAAGAACAGACCGTCTATTACAAACATTAAGGATTGGTAAGATGTCTGGAGTGCTTCTACCAGGACTTCGTCATTCTTCGCCTCGCTGGCTCAATCTGCTGGCTCGAGACGTCGGGCGTCACGGGGGACACTCCGAAAAGGGCACGTGGAATCGGGTATCCAGCCCGAGGTGTAAACAGTGGCTCAATGATCGCAACAAGCGCCGGGCACCACACCGATCAGTCCCGATCGACCGCTGATGCACCTGGACGGGCCGATCAATTCACGTTCTTGGCAAGTTCACTTCGTGGGACCGAGATTCGCGCTCAGCGATCGAATCGGCGTCTTGAAGGCTGACGTAGAATAGCAGGAACTATTGGGGAAAGAGGGAATGATAACCGCGGTCGTCGATCCTCTCCCCCCGGGGGTAACAGGGTTGGTGCTCCCCTTACGGTTCGCACGCTGCGCTTGCCCCCCATAGCGCACGCAGCAGAGGGAAAACCTCCCCCTCTTATCCTGGGCCTCCCGTTGGAGGGACTTCCCGCCCTGGTCGGAGGGGGCCGGTTGACCGGCTCTTTGAAGGTCTTCGTCTCTTGGCCGTTGTTGCTCGAAGGCGCGAATTGGGAAGTGATAGAGGCGACAGTTCCTTGGTGGCGGCTGCTTGTTTTGGCCGTCATCATGGCAGATGCATATCTTCGTAGGCTTTTTTGTACGTGTTAATGTTGGTACGGGTTGGCAATTTCCAAGAAGTGTGATACAGCCGCCACAACATGCAGGAGAGCAAGAGAAGGTTGACATTGTCATCATGGCGACATAGCCTTTGCGATTGAGTTGGGCGACAGATGGAAATTGAAATTTGATGGTTGCTTAGGGGCACGCGATCGATCCTTCGATGATGCCCAGAGCTCAGGCTGAAAGTTTTTTGCCTCTATCTCATATTGCATAGATATTGATGCGCTGACACAAATGCCGGCACATGCACTGTGCAATCCAGAAAGAGAGTAAATCCCGATGTCAGTAAATGCACGAGGCCCCAAACACGAGCGCCACAAATGGCGCCGCTAACTAAGTTTCGGCCAAAAATGGTGAACGATTATGACACCACTTTGAGCTGATTTTCATGTCGAGCGTTGTAGTGTTATATTTACCGCCGGTTGTTCACGATGAACGCTCGTGCCCGCTTCGTAGCGGCACACGCGTACGTGCGACATATAGTTTTTTTTGATAATAGAGGGATTACCCAGTACATCGAGCTATCGACGATACAAGATTACGTCAAATCGAACGGCGCGGAACACTTGTGCGCAACTTGGAACACCAGCAATGGCACCACCTCACAACGGACCGATACAATCACGTGTGTGCCGTCGCAAGAAAAGGCTCAAACGCAACACTGTTAAGTCAACATTTGTTGTATGTTGAAGCTTTTTTGATGAACGCTGTGAGCTTGCGCACAGAATCTCAAGCCATGTCGCGCATGGTTCGACATTTTGTGTCTTGTTTCTAATAAGTTATTCCCTTGATACAATTGAGGCAGCGATGCACTGGCCGATGGCGCTGAAAATAGTTGTCTGTTTTGTATGTCTGCAACGGAGATACGTTGCACTGGCGCCACAACTCTGGGTTGGCGCAATTCCGCCGCAACGTATCTTCGTTGCAGGCATACGAAGCAGACAACTGTTGTCAGCGCCATCGGCGAGAATAAATACGACCAAAAATCACCTTCGTGAACCACAAGCTCCACATTAGACGGCCTGAGCCGCTGTCCTCATGATGTAGCGCTCGGTGTGCGAAAAATGCCAGAGGGTAACCCAGCGTGTACGTGAATATCGGCAAAGACCAGACCCGGACGTTGGCCTCCGGTTGCTTACTTGATATGGTAAGAATGCAAAGCAAGCACTTACTTTCGTACTTTCCATCTTCCACCACATATAACTGCCATAACATATTAGTTGCCATTGCCCAGTCTTCGCTTGCTTCTGCTGGTGGTGGGGTGTGGCAACTTCATCGCACGGCTTTTCGGAAGCTGTCAACCTGCTTCAGCGCAACCTTAGCGGTACGATCATCGCCATTAACGTCGCGACTTATACAAATATGAACAATACGCATCGATCATGCTAGCGGCCGTGAACTAGCACCCGTCATTACGGCCTGTCGTCTCGCAAAAAGCTTCACATCGCTTGAGGAAACTTAACATTTAAGGACCAGACTGGCTGGCTACGACTGGACATCATTGGCGAAGAATAAATGTGACCGCCGGCCAGACCCTAGCAGCTTTTAGCTTTCTGACATAAATGTCTTGACCTTGCCAGCAATGGCAGGTAGCTTTAAGGGCAGCAAACAGAGTCGGTGTCGAGGGTGTCAGAAATTAAAGTCGTGGTGAGACCTCGACGATGGTGCTATTAGAGTTGCCGTCGCACGTCTCCGTTGCGCCGCTGCCACATCCAGGATTCAGTGAATCCCATACGTGCTAGTCTTGTTGTAGGAGCAAACCGCGCCCAAACCCATGTTTTATAAAACGGTCAAAATATTTTTCTCACTCCTGCATGACGGACTCAACCACCTCCTGGCTAGCGGTGGCGTACCCAGCCACACAATCCAATTCGTATCCTGCTTCGGTAACACGTTGTAGCACCAAAGAGCCATCGTAGCCATCGTGAGCCATGTAGTCGTTCTTTGCTATGTCGTCCAAATGACGCGAAACCAACGACCTGCAGGGGCCTTGTTCAATCTGAGAAGCCGATGGTGGCCGCCACGGTAATCACAAAGTGAGAAAAGAGTATTGGCGCACGGAGAGCATATTCAGGGTCGGTGTGCCATGCGCGTGATGGCTAGATACTTTACAAAGCAGAACGAGTTTACTTGACGCAGCTTTGTAGCGTCCACTTAATAGTTCGACTCACACAGTTACCATTGGGACTGTAGGTTACAAAGGGTCGAGGTGGTCTGGACCGAGGGTGACCATGGTGTAATCCACAGCGGCGGAAAGGTCCGTCGCCGTCTTCCGTGTAGACGCCACAACAGCCTTAGCTTCACTTCGCACCTGATACGCCACCTGTGTCGCATCCTGCAGCGGGGCAAGCCACTAGAGGCCAATTCACTTCATCGCACACCTCCTTGTCGCTTCCTGCATCCAGTAGTGCTGATCATTAATTTTTGCCGGACCCGAACATCGTGTCATTGTTCATGATGTTTACAAGGTGATCAAGAATGTTAAACCAAGACCGCATCACGTCGGCACGGTGTCTTTGTTGTTGATGCGTAGATGAGAAAGGTTTCAGTGTGGGTATTTATCATAAAAGGTAGCGGCGAAAAGCTGCAGAGTAATATACCAGCATATGCATGTACTGTACGTAAGGAAGCTGTTACAAACAACCACTACAACGGAATTGTCCTTTAAGTAAAACACGCTATAGTTATCATTCTGACAGGCACAGAGATGTCTGGATAAGTGTCTTTATTTCTGCTGTTTGCAGATGAGCTGGGCCAGGGCCTTCTCGAAACGATGATCGGATTTCAGCTAGGCATCGCTGCTTTGCCGCTACAAGAATAAACTCTATGGCAGTAAAGTGCTCGTAGGGGGCATTTATGGAAGGATATCACGTTTCGGTCATTTGCTGCGCCCTGTACGACTGATTTCGTCGTACCAAAGCAAAACAAGTAACGGTTAAAGAATGAAGTAGTGGACTCGTAAAGCGTTGCCATGACTGCAAGAGGAAGATTCAACCTTTACAAAAACGCATTCACGGGCTCGATGGAGCAGATCAAGTAACGGTTGAAGAAATGAAGTAATGGACTCGTGTGAGTGCACAGGGCTTTACCACGACGGTAAATAGGAAGGTCTCAACCTTTATAAAAACGTAATCATGGGCTTGATGGAGCTCAGAGCTCATTAACTTGATCTCACAACTCAATTCACTAAGTGCATTACCCTACACAGCCAAGACACATCACTTAACGACATTTATCTACCTGCACGATGCTTGACTTGCAGCGTTCGATCACGTTTTTGCTTGTCGCTGCTGCTCTGGCGGAAGGTAACAATTTGCGTCAGGCTCACCGAACTTTGCAGACGTTCACCCCGTCGGACGACTATTTCTCTGTCATGCTCGACCGCGTTAATCAAGTAAGGGCGGTTGCCGGGCTTCCGGCGTTGTGCACCAACAAGAAGCTCCAGGAAGCAGCCCAACGGCACTCCGACGACCAGGCCGCTAACGACTATTTGGACCACAAGGGCACCGATGGGACGAGTGTTTCGGATCGCATCACCCAAGCTGGTTATGATTGGAATGCTGTAGCTGAAAATGTTGCCGCCGGCCAGCCTGACGTAAATTCTGTCATGGAGTCGTGGTTGAAGTCTCCTGGTCACCTCGAAAACATTCTAGGAGACTACACCACGTTTGGCACCGCCTACTCCTACAATGCTGACGGCACATATCGGCACTACTGGACCCAAGACTTTGGATCGGGTGACGCCGAAGAGTGTAACGTTAAGAGCATCGCTGACACCAACATTGCGACTGTTAACGATAAGACGGATGAACCTGTCGTGGCAATCGATACTTCAGAGACCGGTGTCAGCACAGACAATATTCACTCCGGCTCAAAGGAAAGTGATGCATCTTTCACGGGTGCTCCTGTCGTTATCGAGTCACTTGATACTCAAGGCGACAACGTATCGGGCGAGACAGGCGAACCAGTGATGGTAATCGATCCTTCGGAAATAGAAGTAAGCCTGGGAGGTAGTTGCTCCGGTTTAAAAGAGACTGATGCACCTTATACGTGGTAGATCCACCAGTGTGGAAACAGCGAGGGAAGGAAAACACGCACCGACCATCAAGTAACCAGAAGAAACCCTACATTCCAGAGATCACCTGGAACGATGTACATTACGTATCCCAGCGTATAGATTTGGCAACCGACAAGCCTCTTCATGGGAAGGACTGCATTTTTAAAGCATAGGAAACGTGGGATGGCTGCTTTTCTGCTAGTCGTATATTTCAAACTGCTACATTCTAGTCTCTATTTCAACCCAATCACTCACATACTTTTCGTCGACTAGATGAGAAATGATGAATAAAACATGTGAACCAGTAAAGATAGGTAGGTAGATGAATTGCCATGTTAAAAGCTAGCTAGCTATCTTTAGTGCAAACCACTACGCCAACTTCATTATTCAATTGCACTCTTTAGTGAAAACTACGACTTGACTATATAATGGTCATTGATCGCACTTCTAGCATGCTGAGCATCATACGCTTTCAGCAAGGACACCACCAACGAGCACCACTGGACGCAGGACTTTGGTAGGGTTGTAAATGAAGCTCTAGCACGGGCTTGAACACCAGGACCAGGTCAATCCGCGCCTTGCCAAGTGCAAGGTGAAGGAGACCCCGGTCCGGGGAGACTGCTGTATACACATTGTAGGCAATGAAGTCCAAGCTTTACCCACACTCACTGAAAAAGCTAGTAATAAACCGTTCCAGTTGCAGCCGCCTGTACCCACGTCGTCCGAGGCTGAGAGATCTACAGTAGTGATCAGAGTTTCAAGCAAGATTAGTCCGCCAAGAATGACTGTGACTTCAAGTTCTAGTCGTCGTCGATCAACTACAGATGAAAATGCATGCTTTTGCGCTTATCATGTCCTTCGCTTATCTACTTCCACTTGTAATTATTGTTCGTGACGCGACTTAGCACCGTGGATCCGTCCGATCCACCGTGATGAAGGAAGTTTTTTGCTGCTATGACGTCCAACTGTCGTTGCTAGGTCTTCTAATGGCGCAAGTCGGAAGTCCATCTGCAGCTCGATCTTCTTCAAGAGGATCAACAGCGCAGTATACACGTCGCATTACTAAAAAGCTTTGTACTCGGAACATTGTACAGTCGATCATTAAGTTTAGCTGGATCGCTTGTTGTGATAATTTATGGCTACCACAACAAGCGAAGATTGCACAGCACTCGACATATCGACAACGAATGCGGTACGTTGATGTCGGCGAATTGGAGAATGATCTAAGAAGAAGACATGCCACATTGGGGTCTCACGCACCGTTGCATTAAATTGCGACCATTTAAAACGTGTTGGACGCACCTGTCGACATCGATTTTCCAATAAACAACAGGGTTGTCACCATACGAAATGACATGATCCCTTTGAATATGAACTTGGTTTTGTCACTGCGGTGATGGAAGAATAAAACAACTGGATGACTTGGTTGGCAATGCAACCGCTTTGGCAACTCAAATATCGATGAGATGCTCTGTCATGACATCTTCGGCTACTCCTCCGGTATAACTTGTGTCATACCCGCATGGTAGAAGCATATGACCGAGTACCGTCGGGCTAACACACTGTACACGGCGACATGCACTTACCGGTTACGATGAGTGAGAGGTAGTCCCTAAGGATTTACAGCAAGTGACGTGGCCACCAAAATTAATGGTACAATGTGGCGCAGTAAGAGAGCGTTAAGCAAAGCTGTACCTATTCTGCAGTCCAATGATACCTCACCAATGGTCGGAGACTTAGCACATATAACGAGCCTATACGCGTCGTAAGCACGGCAGCACGAACTGTTTTCTTTCAACTTGCAAGTCACTGCTGACTTCACGTCCGAGCACTTTTTATTTTAAATCGACGAGTTCTGCAGCTTACGTGACAGCTGCGCAATTTCACTGTTGATTCGACCAGAGGTGCCTTCAATCCATTGCAGCGAGTTGTGGTGCACATTAAGCACCTTCATAATCTGCACCATCGGGTTGTTTTCGTCTGCCACATCGTCCTGGGCCTTATTCAATTTCTCAACCGTCTCCTTCAACGTCGTTGTCATCGAGTTCAGCTGGTCATCGACGTCCACCGACAGCTGCAGTGTCTTCTCACGCTCAATATCAGCAGTAACTGGCATCTGGTTCTGCGACTCGTACATCTTGTCCACACTCTTCTCCAGTTGCTGCATAACGAATACATGCCGTAACCTCTCAAGAACCAACTTTTCTACCTAATAGCTTAAAGTGTACGATAACTGTACCTCGAGCGTCGACTTCAGCTCCATCTGGTACGCAAAGATTGTGTCGAGGTTCGTATCCAGCTCGTTCTGCGCCACTTGGATACGCCGCACGTCGCCAGCAATGTCGCCCAACTTTTTCTGACTGTCCATGAGGTCGCTATCCCATTCGCTCACTGTCAATGCATTCCGTAAAGCGTTAGCAGTGCGACTACCTACCGACAGGAAATATCGAATTCTATACCTTTAACAGCTTCTGTCGTAAAGGTGTCAGCATTACGCTCGAGCTGCTCACTCCAAGCGTTTATGATATCCTGTAGCCACCCCCACCCACCAATTCAAGCAAAACGAAGACATTAGTACGTTTATCATTATCTTCTTCTCCTCAGCAACTTGTACCTCAATCGTCCGGCCCATGTACTCAGCCGGAGGCTTGTCCATCTCCGTAACTGGAGCTGTAATGGCCGTTGTCGTGGCAGCAGTAGACGTAACCGCAGTTTTTGTTCCCGTATCAGTCGTAGACGCCGTAGACGTTCCAAACGCAAATGACGGCGTCGTCGTCGTCGTCGCCGCCGTCGTCGTGCTCGCTTCAGTAGAAGGTGCTTTCGCACTCGCTCCACCAAACGAAAACGCTGTTGGCGCTGGTGCCGGTGCAGACTTTGCCTCAGTAGGTTTTGTAGAATCTGAACTTGTTACACCAAAGCTAAATCCACCCGTCGAAATGGGCGCCGCTGTTGTCGTCGTCGTAGCACCAGAATTTGCATCAGCCGCAACAGAAGGTTTTGCACCAAAGGTAAATTCCGATGACGTAGGAGCTGTCAATTTTTTAGCTTCTGTAGAAGCTGCACCGAAGCTAAAACCCGATGTCGTCGTCGACTTGGCTTCTCCAGCTGGAATCGTAGCACCAAAACTGAATCCTGAATCTTTCGGAGCCCCTGAACCTGTAGTAGCCGTAGTACTGGATGTAGCAGCAGGTTTAGCAGCTGACCCAAAGCTAAAAGCTGCTGGAGTAGCAGCAGCATTGCTCAAGGCATCAGAAGGAGCTGTAGATGTTGATTTGGCACCAAAGCTGAAGCCTGCGGAAGAAGCGGGAGCGGCATTAGAAGTCGCACCGAAGCTGAAGCCACTTGAAGGGACTGTGGAGGAAGTTGTGGACGTAGAAGGAGCTGAGGAATTGTTACTGAATGAGAAACTGGAGTTGCTACCGCTGGCGTCGCCGAAGTTAAACGACATGGCTGCAAAGTGTCGGTGGATGGAGTGGAAAGATAAAAATACTGGATAGCGAGGAGGTATGACATTGAATAGGTCTTTTGTCAAGGTATGGTCTAAAGAATGAGGTTTTATTCAGCATCATTTTTTTTATCAAATATTTCTTCCATCGCCTAAAAGATGGACGAAAATATACCGATGGACGTGACTGATAGTATGAACAGGACGTTGATTTTGTGGATATATACTTTTATTACGAACTGATTAGTGTTTGTGATGTTGTAGCTGGTATGATGGACTATAGAATGGGTGCGATGCATCCGACAAGTGGCTTTCTGGACCAGCTACAGGACGGGAGGAATGCTGCGATGAGTATGAACAGGGACAGGTTTGACATGGAGCTTGCGAACAAAAATCAAAACCGTAATCGAGGCAATTACCGGTGTAGAAAGGTGTGTAAGTGGTAATATAGGAGTGATCTAGAGCTTGGAGAAGAGAGCTGACAGGCATTTGTGGTTGATGTGCAGTGTGGTGAACCTAAAAAGGGCCACGTGTGTCCGTTGGTGCCGTCTAACTTCAAGTGCAATCGTTGTGGTCTTTCGAAAAAGTTGTGTTGCTGTGTGGGTAAGAGAGCCTTGAGCCTTGAGCAGCATAAAATGTTGTATGTGTGTTTCTGATGGAGTTTTGAATCTGATGCAGCACCGGCACTGCGTACTATTGGCGTACAGGTGGAAATGGATCAGGACATGACCACACGAGTACTGAATCTTAGCATGCAGGTGTGCTAACTTGGCAGAATAGATGGAGTCTTGAGTTTGTGCTCACTTTCATATGTAGGGTGTCGCGGAGGTTCTATAAAAACGACCGCGGGCTACAGCACTCCCCCCAATAGATCATGTGCAGTAGCTGGCTAATATGTTTTTCGCAACGAGGAAGCTCATTGTGTCGGCAATCTCGAGCAGACTGGTTTTTTGGGTGATGGGATGTTGGAGGAGACGTCACATAGTACAGAGTATGTTCCTTGTATCGATATCATGTATTTTACATCGAGTGTTTCTTCCTACATGTCGGGTGCTCGTTCTTCACGTTCACATTGACCGCTTGATTGCTCATCTCTTGAGGTCGTGCTACGCATTTGCAATCTGCAAGACGTCGCTAGGAATTTTGTATCCGCGAAGCTGGACTGCAGTGACCTTAGCACGAAGCGGATTAGACTTGGTCACCTCGTTCAGATACAGTAGCGTGATGCCTCCGTGAAGCTCAATGGTTCGAATAAGCACTGTCTTAAATAGAACGGTTAGTCGTGCGAGGATGCTGTTCATCACCAATGCAAACGGCATGAAGTACGTCATCGTGAACTGTACCATCAAGCCTACAATTGTTTTAATTTTAACAAGCATCAGTTAGTACCTCATGCCGATATAGAAATATGCAGATGACTGCTGTTTTCTTTCACACCTTTGTACGCCTTCTGAGCTGCGTAGATTGTTTCTGCCGCAACAGACGCAACAATCACGAGCTTCCGTAGTACAGCATCTGTATTGATCTTTAGGTCTGAAGCTAGCACCTTCCATGAAATATGATGCGCTCCAGACTCTAGTTCAAATTGCTCTAAGACAGCCGAAGCCTCTGTGAACGTGGCCGTGAAAGTCTCCACTTTAAAATCGCGCAATAATCGCTTGACGTGCTGCAAGTTTTGGAAGAAGAAGGCGCGGCGGTGCTGGCTGTGATTCTTATACATGCTGCGCTGAAACAATGCAATCTCTTGACTCAGTAAACGAGCCATATCGTCGGTGGACTGTGCGTCCCGCAGCAGCGTCTGCTGGCATTCCATCTCCATCGCTGGCTGCAATTCAATGGACTGGCAGGCTACAATATGTAAAGGTTGGATTAGTGGCTCACTTTATGTAGCCATTTCAAGATGCTGGAGCATGTTTGTTAAATATATTTAAGTATTCTAGTGCTTATGGGTGCCGATGCACGTGCCGAAAACTTAAGAAACGTATTGAAACTCGTTGCCAAAAGCTAGGCAAACGTCACGAAAGAGACAACGCACGGGCTGTTTAATCAATTCGCGGCCGTTTCCAAGCCGACAAGCCACTGCAATCCATGAGCTCTGGAGCCTCAATACTAATGCTGTCACTCGCATTGGGGCTTGCCATACCGTCCCATTCGTTACTTATATGGAAGTCATCATCGCGTGGGCGTTTGACCCGCAATCCCCAACCTTGCCGCTGCTTTTCAATCTGCCGCGGATGAGGTGGAAAATCAACACCGTAAAACTTTCCCCCACAAAGAATTTGCTGCACCTCCCTTTTGAACTGGTCCGGATGTTCATGCAGCTGCTCGGCTGCACCAGCGTTAAGGACGTATTCAGTGCCGGGCTCAAGAAAAATTAACTAACATGTAAGAGAAAACACACGAGCCAAACAAACAAACACAAGGTTAGCCAGCACTATACGAAGATGACGCAATTGAATTGGCAGATTTATTACCTGTAACCCAAGCAAGACGGTGTTGATGCTAAGTACAGGACGCCAGTCTTTACCAAGTATTGGCATCATGACCTTGCCTGTTGCCATGTCAATATTGGGATGCCATACCCTTTGTACAAAAAATGGTAAACCACAAAACACCATTTCGTCAGTATGTGGCTCCTACAAGGCATCGTAATTTGTGACTTACCTCGTTAGACACGTCACACTGGGAGCTATACAATAGCCACGAATACCCACATACAAAGTCAGCATAATTTATCCATCTACATTAGCCCCCTAGCACAGATCCTGCTCGTGCGTATCTTACCATGAAAGGGATACGTCTTGGGGATCTCCACAAAGAAGGTAAAGTCTCCGTTGGCAAATGGACCCGATACGTCGGCAATCGCGATTGTAAAAAATATCTGCAGCATATTGTTTGCACCATCGGGAAAATCCACGCGGGTCGTCGCTTGACTGCAAGTGAACTTAGCCTTGGACAACTAGTAAAAGAAGCAGCAGAAAGACACCAATCATTTCAATTGACTTCACACACGGTCATATCAGCAGTTGCTCACCTCGTTCACATCTTTTCTCACACGTAGAGCTGCAAAATCGGAGCGCATATACATACTCGGAGCGCGAGAAGAAGCCAACTCGAGTAGCGTAAATGCTACTTTCTCCTTGTCACTGCGTTTTTATTAGTGTCTGAGTCGTTTCCGTCAGTTGGGAATGCGGATCGCGTCAAGCGTGAGCTGATGCAGTTAGTTGTAGTCTGGAGCTAAAGAGAATGGTGCTAGTATTAGTCACACTGTGTCTATTGCGTTGTTTTATGGAGAAAAGAAAATCTCAGATTGGTGCGTATTTCTTTGAATAATAGCCAATGAAACGACGTACTGGAATCCTTAAGAGTACCATACAAACGCCAAGAGAAAACGTTGCAGCGATGCCGTCTGACAGGGGAGACGCGGCAGCCACGGCCGTGCGCAGTCGACCGCTGCTACACTACAAGGATCTAGGTCTGGTCACGCAAAACCGCAAGGTTCGCTTCACGTGTGTGCACGCATCGGAGAATTTTCTCGCTTGTGGGTACGTTTCGTATCTTTGCAGTACCTTTTTAGTGCGGACAAAGTGATCAGAGTGATGGTCACTGCAACTACTGATTTATGTGAATTTAATTCCGCACTCTAGCTCCAATAATGGAAGTGTTTATCTGTATGCAACGTCGGCATTGAGTCGCAGTGAAGGCGACAGCTTTGTTACACCGACCAAGTATCATCTTGTAAAGATGATCACGCCACCTAGCAACGACCGCGTGGCTGTCACGTGTCTAAGCATTTGTCCACAGCAGAAACACCTCGTAGTCGGTTCCATGCGCGGCGTCGTGTATGCGATGCAACTGTCGGACTACCACAAGATCGGTGAGAAGGTCGAGTTCTCGCACGACTTTCACGCAGGATTCCCCATTACCTGTTTCCTTTGGGACAAACGCGGCACGAGGCTTTTTTCGGCGTGTAATGCAGGTCTTGTGTGTCAGACAGTACTACGTGCCGGTATGTCGGCGATCTTTGGCAGCGCGGACACGGAATTACTGCTTAAGGAAGAAACGGGGATTGTACAGGTAATGGTTTTGACTAGTAATTGACATGTGCTGACCAATTATTGACTCCCACTGGAGTATTGCTTGAGGTATTGTTATGATTATGACTACTCATGCTTATTTTCACTTGATCTTTGTATAGCTAGATCTTGCAAAAAGCGATCGATCGTACATCCTCATGGTATCATCCCAACTGCGTGTTTTGCTGTTAAATCTTACTTCTGGGGATGGTAGTGCCGTTCAAATTGGTACAAAGGCACGGCAAGGCGCGTACGGAGCTTGCTTCTTTACCAGCCTAAACGTGGAGTCGATCGATCCGGCCAAAAAACGGGAAATCAAAGTGTTTTCATCGCGACCAGGACGACGCGTGTGGGTTGCAGACCCGCAATCGGGTGCAGTGTCATCAACGTTGAAATTTTCACTCACGAAGAATCCTATACCATTTCTGCAAAGTGCAGGGTGCGTCACGGAAGAAGGTACGTCTATGCTGCGGTGATTTATAGTTTTGTGAACTCATGGGATATATGCATATTTTTCTTACACGCATGCCGCTGTTTGTAGGAATTCAGCCTCGAAATTTAACCATTAATAAGCTTGGTCGCTTTAAGTTCCTACAAGACCCTCCTTATGCACCACAAGATGTCAAAGACGCTGCCACATTGCTGGTGAGCTGGAACGTTGGCTCGAGCGTATTATTCTTTCTCGATCCTTCTACTGTCGAAATTGTCGAGTGGCACTTGGATTTGGGTATTATTCACGACTTAAAGGTATGCTAAGTGATGCATATGTGCAACAATTTGAATGCTTGTACTGATCATGTGATTCGCCTGGATTAGATCATAGACGAAACAACGTTAGTAGTTCTACATGGTGATGTTCCAAAAGTGTCTTTAGTCCAGTCCTGTTCAGCTGACCAGTTTCTGCAGATTTACGGCACGGCTGATATGAAAAAGGCTGTTGAGGTGAGTGTTGTCATTTTTGTGAGCCTAAATTCGGTTTAAAAGGAATTATTTGTTGCGGTGTAGCTTGCGATTGAGTTCAATTTGAATGACGCTACCGTAGTGGATTCACTATATAACCAGTGGCTGGCTTATCTTGAGAATATTGACATAAAAGATAACACGGAGTATGATGAGTTGACGGCATCTTTAAAGGCTCTTGTGAACACGACGAGGACGCTGGAAGAGGAATATAAAGTGGCAGTTGAGTCTGGCTTTTCACCCACTGATTTACAACCGCTGCAAATTATATTTAAGCAGCGCCCGCAGCAAGCAGTAGCTGCTGCTTCTACCGCTTCAGCCGATCTATTTGCCAATCTGGATGACCCAATGGGCACGAAAGTAACTCTGGCTCATGGCAGCACTCTCCACAAGCCAATTGAGTACATTGATGTGCTTGCACCGTCAGATCAGGTCTACTCCAAGAGTATTTGTGCACCTGATGGATCTTTCGTGGAGGCTAGGCTGATGGATATCTCAGAGCTGCCGCGAGCACATTCTGTGCTTGATGATGACTTTCGTGAAAACTTTATGGAGGAGATTATGGAGGCGGTGAAACGATTCGAGCAAGTACGAAATAACGAAGGCTCCATGAACATGAAACTTCTACCGACACTAAGAGATGGGTCCACGGCAGCAGCGAAGGCGTTTTCAACGTTTATCCCGGGCAGCAGTGTGCTCACGCACCTAATGGACGGCTCTATGATCAAGGATCCGTTTCGCCGCTCGGACGCGTCCAATATTTTCAGTGACTTTCCCGAATTCGATAATGATGAATTAGTGATCGACCCAGATCCGCGTCTGCTTCAGCGAAGATACACTCATGGCCAGAGACTCAATACTCATACCCATGAATACTCCGTGCTGCGAATCGCTATGTCGACAATCGGAGAAGCAGACGAAAGCAATTTGGACACTGAAGTCCTCCTGGAAGCGATTTCGATGGATATTTGGGATTCAGACCTTAGGTACACTGCGAACTTACCTATTAGCGAACAACTGGACCTTCTGGAAAACGCAATGGATAGAAAAGAAAGTGAATGCATGCACACTGGGAGAGATGCCCAAGCACCGAGTGAAATTTACGATGCAGAACGAGAAGGAAAGATTGCACTGCGCGAAGCAAAACAAGCCTTAATCAAGACATTGAAGGTTCAAACGCCTCTTTCAACAGTATCATCTAATGAATCCACCCCTATCAACACAACTAGGCAACGCTTTGTGCACCAAGCATCAACGTCTCCGGACACGGGACGTGCAGCTCAGCGCGCAATCCAGAAACATTTCGGAGCAGCACCGAGCTGTGAGGTCAAGCTTAAATGCATGGTAGGTGGCCGTATCGCTATATCACCAGAGTTAGAACCTATCATTCGACGTGATGTTAGCGAACTAGCTTCTGAACTTCACGCAGCTTCCGCTACAGCCGAAAAAACAAAACAGCTCACACGAAGACTATGGCCTGCATCTGGAATTACACGAGTATGCGCATGCCTTACAAGCTTGTACTTACTGCAAGGTGACGTGGATCAAGTACGCACGACAATTGGGGCGTGGTTGAATTGCTTTGACCCAACTGCGCCACTCGAAGATTCAGAAGGAAGTGACATCAAAAATAAGAGTGAGCTTACCAATATGCCTTCACCTACTGGATTTGCTCGTGGTGAGGCGCTTGTAGGGGGTGATGGCCTACCACTAACGAGAGGTGACTGGAACTTAGTACGAGCAATGGTATCGATATATTTCGCTACCTGGGCTGCTGGACCGAAATTACATCTCCACCCTTTGAACCCGGATAGCAAAGGTAATTGTCGATTATATGAAAGCGAAATGGGAATTACAATGAAACTGGAGCCACGCTACAAGTGGGATAGTGTTGCAGATGACTCCGAGACCGAGTCTGCCACGGCAGATGAAGCCGAGGCATTTGTAGTCAAGTACGGCGTATATATTAATCCGGACTTAGCCGCTGAAGTGTGCAACCTACGGCAGTTTACGGGTGCATTAAAAATTGTCCTGGACGAGGTTATGTCCAGCGCTGAAATGGAAGAAATATGTGATGATATTGTAAATTGGATCTCAAAAACCGAAAGTGCCAAGGTTTTTTCGGTATTAAAAGAGCGCGATTCGTTGTGCCTGCTACTTCACATGCTCGATATCTTGATGAAGAAGTGCCCCCAGGACACTATCGATATGTGTGTGAATAAGTACCCCGTATTGTATCCATGGAATATTGAGCAGGCCCTGTTCGGGATAGAGCTCGAGTGGGCATCAGGTGAAGGCGCAAATCGTATGTGCGAAATTTTGCAGCCAAAGGCAGTGGCACAGGCGTCCAAGTACTTTCGGTATCTCGTGCGTCTTCTGGAAGTAAAGGGTGACGAAGCCGGCAAAAATACACAAGTGGTCAGTCGATGTTTGGACCTGTGTTTCGCTGGTAGTGCGGTGATTGGTGACTTGTTTAGCCACGAGGAAAGGCCAAGCCGTATAGAGTGGATTGCGGCGCTTGTTCGCCAACCCAACAGGTTCATTTACGACCACGCACAGTGCTGGAACATGTTTATGGAAAATAACGCGTTCCTTCCTCTCTTGGAGTTAACGATGATATCTATGCAAAACGAGTGCGATTCGACGGCTTTTGACCGTGGATTCAATGAATTGTCCGAATTGGTGACTCTAATCATGAAAAGCAAGGATCTGCTTGTTTTTAATTCACTGTTTGAAAGGGTGGCTGTGCTCCCGCGCAGCTCTGAGAAGTGTTTGTGCAATATGTTGAGCCAGATTCAAGTGTTCATGTCCGATGAGAATCGTAACGAGCCCTTATGCTCTGCGGTTTTCCACGCACTTTTGAGCTCGGTAAATCTTGGTTACGGAATGCGCCTCCTTGGTCGATTTCCTTTGCTGTTTGCTGCCACGCCGCTGCAAACGTATCGCACCATTGTTGAAACACATGTACTCACTGAGCGCCAAAAGTACGAGATAGTGCAAATGTTAGAGATTGTGGACACTAACGTGTGGACATCATACAAAGAAGATGTGTCTGCCACAAGTCCAGTGTCCTTCGCGCCCCAGCTTACTGCTATTTTGCAGCTTGAAATGGGCGCGCTTTTTCCAGCTATGAATCAAGAGCAGTACGCGATGTGGGAGAACAAGTGCAAGCAGTACGATGATGACACAACAACACATCGATTAAAAGCGGAGCAGGAAGCAAAAATGAATAATGGGCTTCTTTGCAGACAGATTAGCCTTGGGCGTACTAACAACCGCATTGCAGTATCGAGGATGCTTCCGGGTGTGACTCCAATGGCTTGCCGATCTTTTGAATATCGTAATAGTGACTGGGGTGGTGCAGTGCAGTTGCACGATTCCACTTGCGGGATGTGCGAACTTCCCGTGGTAATAATTCGTGACAGTACGTATTGCATTCTATCTGGGGCTGATGATGCTAAAATCAACTAACCAACTGACATTTGTTTGGTTTGGTCGTGTACAGACAATGCCAATCTGGACGTGGTATTGCTCCCATGCGGCCACGCTTTTCATGAAAATTGCTTGGAAGATAATTCATGTCCAGTTTGCCTAGAAGCGAATCTGAATACACTGGACTGGTCTTAAAAATATGAGAAGGAAAGTTTCGAGACAGGTGTGAGCGCAGTTGATCTACAGTTGGCCTTAACGTCTTGCCCAGTTAGAAAAGGGTCGAGCAGTCGGTATTCGTGCTTAAAGCGTGCTATTGCTGAATATTGTCAGTGATGTATAAAGCGACGAGGTTTCTACAGGGGACTGATTACTTTGATGCTCACTTAAGACTCTGATCCCGCGGTTGTGAGAGCTACCGACTATTGCGCATGTGGTGATCAATTACAGCTTTTCTTCGACGGCCAAAATACTGATATCCCTGAGGCCATGCCGTCTTCAGTCGCCTCATTGCTACACATGTGGCCACATCTAAGAGAAGCAATTTGGTTCATCTCCGAGGGAGGTCTGGCGATTGAGGGGGTACCTCATATTCTCCATGTTCTTCTTACTTTTCTGTCACAAGACCAACAACAGCGTCACCTGACATTATTTGATGCAATATACGGCGAGAGGATGGATTCTGTAACTTTCCAGATTTCTAACGCTGGTAAAAATGTTATGATAGTACTATATAGGTTAAAGTCAAAATTGACGTAAAATACGTAGTCAAAATTGAAACTTTTACACGTTTTCCTTCCCGAAAATGTGTTCATTTTTATATTTCAGTTTTAAATTCCTTTCCTCCGTGGTGAAGACGTGATCGATGCTCACGCCCAGCGACTGTCAGTGTGGCCACACGCATGGGGTCGAGCCTGATCATGTCAATACGGAAGAGCAACTTGATCAGGTACGAGGTTGCTCTCTTGCAACCCACCAACGCAGTCCATTTAACATAAACACTGCTCTCTATCGTAGCCGGCGCCGTCCTTAGCATATCAATTATGGCAGCCCTGGCGATTTATTGTAATGGTAAAACTAATGGCTACATTGTATAAATTTCTACTTGGGTATCGTATGATTTATTGACTGATGATAACAATGTCATACTTTTTGTATATGTAGAATCCGCTACCAATGTTCACAGCGTTCGTTGTCGTAAACATCATCTTTGTGACGGTCGGAGGACTATTCCGTCTATTCGTACACCTGTTGACTCTTCCTGGATTGCTGGTGGCACTTCTACTGGGTCTCATACTCACTATTCGACGAGTGGCTTCGCTCATGGCTTACCCTGGCCAACTGAAGCTGGTAATTCGAGAAGGTGAAGCCATGTTTGCTCGGTTGACAAAACGCCGTCTTCAGATCTTTGCTGAGGCAGCATCGGAGCTGGCAGTGGTGTTGGATCCCACTTCTAGCAATAAACCAATGAGATTACGCTTTTTACAGGTCCATCAGAACTTCGCTTTTGCTTTAGAGACGATGATGCTACCAGTACTGCAGTCGCTAGAGATTGTGGAACGAGATGGAAATTTGGGTGCAAACGGGGGTAAATTGCTGAGAGTTTTACGGGAGATCGTAAAATTGAACTCGCAGAAATTGGCTGAGCCCTGTTCAAAGTTGTGCTCAGTGTCGGAAATGGCGTTCGAGACGCAGAGAGTGAGAATGTTTACTGGAGACGAGATAGCAGATCCAGTATCGACGGAGCAACCACGAATGAAGCTATTTGGAGGTTCCTCGAAGCCTATGCTGAAGAGATCGACCACCGTCGACTCGGCAACACTAGAGGCTGAAGCAGCAGCGAAACCCAAACTTGCTAAAGCTTTACATCCGCTGGGTGCGTTTGCAGTGACGGTGCGACGACTTCAGGCTGCGATTACGCTGATTGGAAGGCCGCAGACGAATGCGCCAGCGACTAGAAGTGTGACCTGGATTGCTAAGGAACTTTGTCGTGGATCGACTCCTGAGGTCGACCATATTGCAACGCTCGAGATGCTCCGCGCTGACATGACCGTGTTCTTTGTACGTTTTTGAGTGTTGTCAGTGCTAGGTGTCGTTCTCAGTGTCAACTGATTGTAGCTGTTGTGGACACATAGAAAGCTGAGCAGATCTGGATTCCAGGCTACCAAGGTCATCAGGTGGATGCGATGTTAATGCCTCCAGCTTCAAGTGGCCGTGATGCTGTTGACCGCCCTGTTGTCGTTTTGTGCAACCCTAACGGCGGGCTGTACGAGTTCCATCACTTGCAAATGGATTGGATCAAGTTTTACACCGCGGATCTGGACTGTCACGTTCTTGTGTACAACTACCGCGGGTACGGGCGTTGCAAAGGTTCGCCGTCTCCATCAATGCATAATCTAGATGGATTAGCTATTGTCGATTATCTCAAAAACGTACGTAAGATCGAACGAGTTGCTGTCCACGGCGAATCGATTGGGGGTCTGGTGGCCACGTATGTGGCTCGCACGTCACCTCACGTGAGTGTGCTCATTGCAGACCGCACCTTTTCAACTGTGCCGGCGCTTGCCCAGCGCATGATCGCAAGGTGGGCTGGCACTGTAGTTGACTGGGTCATGCGTTGGGAAACGGACAACGTGCAGAATTACTTGGACGCTACCTGTGCCAAGCTGTTATGTTCGGATCCATGCGACGAGATCATCCTGGATGGAGCCTCGCTCAAGTCTGGCGTAGCTCTAAGCCTTGAACTAGGAGAGAAGACGTTTAATCTTCCTCGTCAACGCGAAGCTGACGGCTTACCAACCTCGCCAGCATCGCCAAAGAACATTCTGCTCAAAATTCGGACACAATGTGATCCCCACAGCACTCGTCGTGTCAGCGAAGCTGCGAGTCACCCACAACTAGGCCAGCCGTTGACAGAGACTATAGTGGCACGCTTTAGTGAAGCCGTTTTATCTGTTGGCAGACGGGCGCTGGAGTATTCTTCCGATCGCGATGATAGGGAAGCTGGTGGCCATGATAGGAAGACGATCGAAGAAACGAAAAGTTTCGGCAAAACAATTGATGCTGCGACTAGCTCGAGCCATGTTGCAATTTCAGTGGAGAATGTCGCAGCTACTACCATTGAAGAGATCGCCGCGGATAATGAGCAATGTCCAATGCTCTCTTCAGACCTGATTGAAGCACTAGCTCCCGTTGCCACGACTGCTGCATTTCCCAACGAGCTCGTGGCTGTCGTCTGGATGCAGCTCGCTCGTCTAGATGGCTACTGCGGTCAAGTTCTTCTTCAAGCTGCAGAGAACGGTGGGCATGACAAGATCCGCGCTTGGACTGCGTCGTTACTGACATGGGGTGGTCGCGTGACCCCTACACGCAGGAACGTGCGTTCGGTGGAGCCTTTTGACCGAGGTGGCATTTTCATTGTGCCAATAATGGTTGCTGAGGTGTACACGACGTTGCAGCATCTTGTAGAGCAGTACCCGTCTCTCAAATTCGACTACGATATTGGTTTCGTGGTGCTAATGATCGAGTATATAAATGACACGTTGCAGCGACGATGGCATCATTTGGACAGCCCTTCAACCGACGAACGTGACGTAACAAGCGAAAATGTACAAAAGAACAACAAGAAGACCAACCAAAATGTCGCTACAGAGCAAAACAAGACAGCCGTTTCGTTATTGATAGACACCGGTGATCCCATGTTAGGCTGTCTTTTACCACTACACTGCGGCCACAACAAGAACTATGGAGACGCAGAGAAGAAAGCACTGATTGGTTTCCTACGGCATGCAGGCTTTGTAAATTAGACTCACCAAAATAAATTTGATTCCTTTTGAAAACTACGCGATCTTCGAAATGCCGCATCCCTGCTAAGGAACGTGGTGTGACCAGGAAAAATATCAGTTGAAGCTGCTCCGTTGTTTAGGTGTTGAGGAGTGTTACACTCGCACTCGCGGCGATCATGTACAAGTCAGAGCGTGATCAGTTTCGAGTATTGACTTGTTGGCAGTTGAATCCACTGCAAAATTGCCTAGAATTTCTCATGGCGCGAAGGCAGTTCGATCTCTTTACTTTCGACTAAGCTGTCTTTGGTCTTACCTGGATGCAAAGAGGAAAACCAGAAAGCATGTCTCACACCTGCGCCAATTACTGCCTAGCGGTGACGATGGTGTATCTGATCCAGTAAATTTGAGTGTTCAATGTGCTGCAGTCGCTATCTGTCGTGGTGAGCGCTCATGCCAGGACACGTAACCGTGACACGTAAAATCGAAGGATGGTCGGGCTTTACTTAACATCTTTGAACAAGTAGCTTCTACTTAAGGCGGTACAAAGGGTACTAAGGTGATAATACTCGTCCGATACTTTTTTTCCAAACGCTCCAGACATCGACGTCTGGGTGCGGTACAGTACGCTGCTTTAAATCTCGCGAATCATTTTACAATTTCGTCAAAGTCAGGGTTTTGCCTACGAATTACTTATGTTATTCGAGCCCAGATATTCAAAAGCACATCCCATATTATTGGTATTGGATGTGCGTTGCATTGTGCAACGTATCTCCGTTGCAGACATACAAAACAGACAACTATTTTCAGCGCCATCGGCCAGTGCATCGCTGTCTCAATTGTATCAAGGGAATAACTTATTAGAAACAAGACACAAAATGTCGAACCATGCGCGACATGGCTTGAGATTCTGTGCGCAAGCTCACAGCGTTCATCAAAAAGGCTTCAACATACAACAAATGTTGACTTAACAGTGTTGCGTTTGAGCCTTTTCTTGCGACGGCACACACGTGATTGTATCGGTCCGTTGTGAGGTGGTGCCATTGTTGGTGTTCCAAGTTGCGCACAAGTGTTCCGCGCCGTTCGATTTGACGTAATCTTGTATCGTCGATAGCTCGATGTACTGGGTAATCCCTCTATTATCAAAAAAACGTATATGTCGCACGTACGCGTGTGCCGCTACGAAGCGGGCACGAGCGTTCATCGTGAACAACCGGCGGTAAATATAACACTACAACGCTCGACATGAAAATCAGCTCAAAGTGGTGTCATAATCGTTCACCATTTTTGGCCGAAACTTAGTTAGCGGCGCCATTTGTGGCACTCGTGTTTGGGGCCTCGTGCTTTTATTGACATCGGGATTTACTGTCTTTCTGGATTGCACAGTGCATGTGCCGGCATTTGTGTCAGCGCATCAATATCTATGCAATATGAGATAGAGGCAAAAAACTTTCAGCCTGAGCTCTGGGCATCATCGAAGGATCGATCGCGTGCCCCTAAGCAACCATCAAATTTCAATTTCCATCTGTCGCCCAGCTCAATCGCAAAAGCTATGTCGCCATGATGACAATTCCCTCAACCTTCTCTTGCTCTCTTGCTGGTTGTGGCGGCTGTATCACACTTCTTGGAAATTGCCAACCCGTACCAACATTAACACGTACAAAAAAGCCTACGAAGATATGCATCTGCCATGATGACGGCCAAAACAAGCAGCCGCCACCAAGGAACTGTCGCCTCTATCTGAGCAAGAAGCTGCACATTGCCGCCCAGGGCTACTCATACTATATGGCCGCCAACGACATCATGAATTACGTTGGCTTGGGGAATAAGGAGACATATAAGGACCGCATAAAGCAGGCTGGCTACGACTGGACCTCAGTGGTGGAGAATGTGGCTGCCGGCCAAGGGAATGTGATCGAAGCAGATGCGGTCTTCTGTCTACCCTCATGATTGCCTCATTAAGTTATATGCGACTACACATTGTTCGGGTCCGCATACACGTTCAACGTTTACGGTATATATCAGCACTACTGGACGCAGACTTTGGCTCGGCGATGTCGAGGAGTGCGACGATGATTCTGCCTCGAGTGGCTTGACGTCGGTGCAGGATGCTACTCAGTACGTGGACCAGGTGCAAGTAAGACGAAGACCTGTTGTGGCGCCGTCTCCGACGACGGTGACGGTGACACACGCCCTCTGCACTGAGGCCCCGGCCGAAACTGGCCGTGGACTGCCGGGGCGCAGAATGAAAGGGTTGCATCCCGCGATGATGACTGCGTGCTTTGCGTACGTACAGTCTTAGCGTCAGGAGCACCTTCGACACAAACTATCTTTGGCGAGGACACCTTAGTGATATGACGAACATACAGACGAATGAGCTCGCCACTGATCTGATGGCTCGGGTCAACAAAGAGCGCGTCGCTCATGGATTGCCGATGATCTGCTCAAGCAAAATATGCTGCAACTACAGCACAGCGTCATGTCAAGGATCAGTCAAAGTCTGACTTCTTGTCGAACATCGGAACCTCGACCCCTGAAAAGCGTGTAGCCGACGGTGGCTACAAGCGGGAACGTGTAGCGGAGAGCATTGACTTAAAATCGGTTAATGTCGATAACATCGTGGAGAATATAGCCTGCCGCAATTTATCCTGGGATGCGCACCATGGTTGGCGCAGCTGTAACGTGTCTCAGTCATTATACGGTTGGCGTGTAATGAATGAGACACGTTACAGCAATCCTTATAGATGCAGATGTTGATGCATAAATGTAAGTTGCTGACACTATCCTTCCTTGATAATGCCAAAAATATCGTTCGAGACCGGAGGACAATGGAATGTAGTCCTGTGGTGACCACTCCGACTTTTCAGTGGTTCTTGCGTTTCGTGCCCCTCCCGCTTGTACTGCCGAACTCACTAGAGAACATATTTATGTGGTAAAATTGTCACAATCACGACAATTTGATAGCGGTTGTTGTCACATTGAGACGACACTAAACCATCCCTTGTTCGATGTTTTCGGCTATCTCGTCATCGTGCGGAAATTTGTCAGTCATACTTCGCTGTCTCAGCCGATATGCCGCGACACTTGTTTGCAAGTCCAAATTGCGTGTGGGTTGCTATTAGGTAATTTCCATGTTAACTGTCTCGGCACAGTGCTTCGCAGTACTGGCTCCGTCAAACGAATTGTAGCTTTTGTCTACATGGCATTCTCCAATTTGCCCTACATCCCCAATCAGCTATGGTTGCCATTATGCAGTCTTCAACAGTTCTTTTGCTTACTCTCGGTGCTACATTCAACGCTGTATCCAAAGCAACCAATTTACAACAAGCGCACCGCGACCTTAGTGACACCACTTACTCCCAGAAGGATGAGTTAGCCACTGCTCTACTGGCTCGGGTCAATAAAGAGCGCGTCGCTCATGGATTGCCGGTGATCTGCTCGAACAAAAAGCTACAAGCTGCAGCACAGCGTCATGTCAAGGATCAGTCAAAGTCTGACTTCATGTCGGACTTCGGAACCGACGACTCAACCCCCGAAAAGCGTGTAACCGACGCTGGCTACAAGTGGGAACGTCTAGCGGAGAACATTGACTCGACAAACGCCGATGTAGATGCTGTCGTGGACTGGTGGATGAAGACCCAGAGTCGTGACAACCTCTTGGGAAACTTCACCATGATAGGATCGGCGTACGCGTACAATGAAAACACGTCCAGCAAGTACTTCTGGGTGCAGGTGTATGCTACGGGTAGTTTAGAGGAGTGTGATGCGGCATAAACCAGCTATGGATGTTCGCGCATGTTTATAGTTCATCCAACAGGTTTTCTATTAGCAGACCAAAACTTTTGAGCTGATCGACGTCGTATTTATATAAGGAGAAAATATTAGCAACTTTGATTTTCTTGTGCTTTCCCGAGAGTGGGGTATCTCCATTTCTCAATGCATTTGTTAACTATCATCATAAACCTGAGGACCTATCCCCGCTGTTGCACAAAAAGAAGCGTGCGAATGGTGACATCGACCCAACATTGATCACCTAGATATTCTGAGGTGGCAAGGCGGCGAATACGCGTCGCCTGATCAAGCACCCTCAAGCGTTACGTGCACCATAGTCAAGCACAATATATGACACTGAAGAAGGTGTCACATTTTGTGTGTTGTATATAGAAAAAGAACATACATTGTCGACTGCATGTGAGCAAGAAATCATGTACAGGACAATAAGGGGACCTTCCGGCTACGACATCCACAGGTGAGATTACAATGATGCGGTCGGTATACTACGATACTGCCGTATAAACTTAGCTTGATTATGGTGCACGTTCAAGTAACCGTGGTGGAAATTGGTGGGGGCTGACTAGCTAATGATGCACATCAGATTCTAAAAAGCGGTGCTGGACGAACAGATTTAGCAACGTAAGCTGTTCGTTGCGATCTCTTATGTTGCGTAGTTTGCTGCTACCCGAGGCCCTATCAATTGGGTGTCACACTTAATATAGCCCTTAACGCAACTGACTCACTTCAATGTCCTTTACGTTGCTTATCATTCGTATCAGTTGCGGTTCCCCAACCCTTATCATGTTCTCAGCTTTATGTTTTCACACCAGTCAATTAGTATGGCGTCTGATTCCGAGTCCTCGGCTGTCGCTCTGCAGCGCTACATTGCCTTTGTCGAAGAGGTTCTGCGTCCGCAACTTAGGCAAACACTCGCTCATCGTGATGCATTAGCTCAGGAGGTGCACGAATACCAGAAATTGCGTGAATTGTTGCAGGAATTGACCAATTTAAAGCTTCAGTCATTGCATACATTGCTCGATATTGGAGAGCGTTTTCACGTACGTGCTAAAGTGGATGACACGTCACTCGTTACAGTGGACATTGGTCTGAATTTTCACGTGGAAATGACGGTCTTAGAAGCTCAAATATTTGTACAGAAGCATTTATTCCACTTGACTGAGTAATAAAGATTGTAGACTAAGAATTAAGAGAAAAAGAGCTAACGATTCGATGTTTTATGCGCTATGTAGGAAGCGAAACAAGTGGCAGGAAAAAGCACGAGAAGTAGCAGACCACGTGAACCTCGTGCTTGCCTCGATTCAACAACTTGCAGCTTTACAGTGATAAACATGTCGATCGATTTGTATTTGATAATGAAACGAAGTTTTGTCATGATGAGTAAAGACCTATATAAAGAGCATTAAGTGGCTGACTGAAGCGTCTTTTGTGCTGCTTACAATGGATAAACCGTTCATCTTTTCTTGTCGATGTAGAGGATTTCAAGCACAATATGAAGCGAGTCAGAATGCTGGACATATTTTTGAGGTCGAGGAGGCCCTCATCGCTGTGGCATAAGACCCCCTACTTTATCGTCGAGAAGTGTCCACCGTCTACGGACGATAGTAGAAAAAATGACTTACCATTCATAGAGACTTATCTATTCATCGTTTACGTTGGCTTGCTCAAGACAGGATGCATGTAAACCGGCACAGGTTCATAATGCGCGACGGATAAGTCGTGGTACCTGTCTCGCTCCATTTATGCCTCACTCTGCTTCATTGTACCTAAGATAGCAGGTGTTGTCACAGCAGTTAATGACTCCACGGTGATCTGCTCTACCGATGCCTCCGTTGTCTGCACCGAGTCGGAGTCCCAACCCTCAACAAAGCCACGTGTTCCATTGGGGCCTTTTGCCATTTTAGACGCCACCATTGCGTTAGCGCCAACCTGGCGCATGGCTTCTCTCAGTGTCGAGTTCACCATACGAAAGCCTCGCCGCTGAGGCGCTGTAGTCGTGTTTGGTGACAAGGAGAGGCGAAGGACGCTCAACGCATGACCCAGAACAGGCTCCGTCGCAAATTCTGCACAATCTTCGGTGCTTTCTTCGCTCTCATCCTTGGACATTACTTTCTTCTTTTCTGATTCACTCGTTAAAGTAATGTTCTTGATGAAAGGAGCAGAAGGTGGCCTATATGCAAACTCTACACGATCACCCTCGCTCAAGATATCTCCACGCAGCACACCTCGGGCAGTAAATCGGGCTTCGACGACTGGCTCGTCGCCATCTAAGCGAATCACACCGCCAAGATTTTCCGTGATGCGCGTGACAGTACCTTGCTTCGCATGCGAGGCAACCAGTCGAATGTGAACTGCGCGACGTGTCTTTGGTGCCACCTGAGGAATAAACTCCACTTCGTCACCCTCACGCAGAACAACAGCCGGATCAGCGATGTCACGAATGTTGTACAGATACAACTGTTTGTCTGACGTCTTCCGCTCCAGGTCCTTCGTCTCTATCCTCTTTGTCTCTTCAGAAGCAAAAGGTTCCTCCGTTTCTGCATCCCCGCATTTTGCCTCGCCACTATCCTGCATCGTCTCTGCGGCCTCATCAGTTTCGTCATCGCTGTCTCCATCTTCATCTGCATCAACACCACTAGCAGCAGCATCGTCTTCAGCACTACTCCCAGCAGCTGCCAGCCGGATACGTCCTAATGTACTTGCTTTGTTGTTTGACTTCGTGAATCGACCCTTCGCTCCGCCCTTGAAGCGATGCAAAAAGCTTGCTTTTGTGACAACACCCTTTACGGATTCAGGCACCACATTCTTGATAGTCCCCGCTGGCACGACGCTGATACCCATCGCGCGTCTCTTTTTCTTCTTCTCGTCAACAAATATCGTGTACTGGACCTCAGTACCTTCCTTCAGCTCTGCCAAAGTCTGCCCCGTCGTGATCTCCTTGACATGAAAGAACAAGTTCTCTTCGAACGACCCAGGTACTGGTTGAGCAGGCTGAATGAAGCCAAATCCTTCTGGTTTCACAGATACAATAAACCCTTCTCCATTAACCGCGTCATTCTTTGCGCTGGCTGCCTTGGTATTGGTGTTGGCGGCTGCCTCTAGACACGAGATTGATTTACATTGGAACTGCTTGGTTCGCTTGACAATCACAAGATCAAACCTGACGCGATCTCCCACACGCGGAATATATCGCACACCGTCCACGTCATCTTCCTTAAATTCTACTGTCAGCTCTGGTGCAGACGTTGCAAGTTTCGTTTCTAATGTCTTCATCAAGACCATTTTGCTACCAACAATTTCAAGCTGTCGATGGAAACCTTCTCCACTGCTTGCATACTTTAGTCCAAGCCAGTCACTGTAATCTTGCAAGGCAGCACGTTCAAATTTGGACAGAGTGCTCGGGAATGAGATCCGGATTTCTTCAGTCTCCTTTGACTCCTCCTTCTCGACCTCCACCTTCTGCGTCTCCTCGGCAACGTCTTCTGACGCAATAAAAGCAGCATCAAGCTTCTGCTTTAGGTCCGGGAGAAAATCAATCAAGTGCTGCTTCTGCGGAGCGACGAAGCTAATTTTACCAGGTACAAACTTTTGCAACTGATTTGTTTTGTCCCCGCTACCACCGCGGCTGGAAGAGTTACCTCTCCGCGAGATAGGCGCTGCCACAATCTTGCCCTCTAGACCTTCGCCAGCAACGTATTCCCACTGGACAGTTCCTCTTGGCAAGATTTGAAGACGGGCCGCGCGAATATGGTCCGACTTGTTATCAACAATAATGTCAAACGCCACCTCCGTGCCATTGTTAAAGCTCCGATGCGTGCCCATGACATCAGAAAAACGGAAGTAGGCATCTCCTGATCTCTCAGCACACTTGATGAAACCAAAATCTTCCTTCATAGCGTTGATTATGCCGGTCTCACGGTTCTTAGAATTTAGCTGTACCACTCGCACCCTCACAGCTTTCATCTCGCCCGTGCGTTTGTCCAGCACCTTGTCGAAAGCTACCTTATCGCCGATGTGGGGAACGTAGCTCACGTCATGTACGTCACACAACCGGAAGGCCACTTTAGGTTTGCCATCCTTATTCTTATTTTTCTTCGAAGACTTTCCTTCACTTTCCGACATAGCTTCAACGACAACATCTTTCATCTCTTCAACTTTTTCAGCAATACCTAAGTCAACAGACGAAACAGCAATTGAACCAATTACCTCAGGACCATTTCGAGGTTCCTTTGGAAGCTTTAACACAAAACCCTCGACATCAGCACGTAATAGCTCCTCGAAAGAAACAGTGCCAGCAGGGAGCTTCTGCACACGGAGCGCTGTCAGACGCGGTCGAGAGCGAGCAGAATCGTCCTCCTCGTCCTCGTACACAAAAAAAGAAACTTCATCACCTTCACGGATAGAAGGTCCTTTCCCTTGACGACCACGGCGAGGATATCCACCAGTTTCTGTCATTTCGCTGTCCTTCTCGTCGCTCGTCTTGTTCTCCTCATCGGCCTGCGCTGACTCACAGATTTCATGAAAGGGGAAGTAAATGTCCACAGGACGGTCGCAGCACTTAATGAATCCACCACCGTTCTTCACGCGATCCACCACGCCAAACTCACGCATCATTGTCGCTAATTTAGCTTCAATCTTCTTCTTCACTTTATCCCGCGCAGACATGACAATCGTGATATCCACCGCGCGCTTTACTCCCGTCCTGCGGTGCTTTGCAATACGGAAACGCACCTCGTCGCCGAAGTGCGGAATTAAATTCTTCTTTATTCGGTTGTTTTCTTCTTGATCCTCGTCGCTACTCTTTGGCTCCAAAGCAGCAACACTATCGCTTGTAAAACGTACAAACTCGCGTATGTCAAGTGTCTTCTTCTCTGTATTATCATCATTCTGTTCCTGATCTTCCGAAGCTGCTTCCTTTGCACTTTCACTCCTCTCACTGTCCTTCATCTTTTTCACCTCAATCAATCCATATTCTTCACGGTGCTGGTGACGATCATCGTCACGATTATTATAAAACCCTCGACCGTTTCCATGTCCTCCACGTGGCAAACTTTTCGTAACAATACCGTCAAGCAGCTCGTCTGCAACTTCTTCTACCTTGATAGTTCCCTTGGGCAGTGCTACCAACTGACAGGCCATCTCCTTGTCCGACCGTTGGTTAAAGCTTACTCGGAACTCCACCTCATCCTGCAATTGGACGCCCACGGGTGCCTCTGAGATGTGAAAAAATAAGTCTCCGTTCCTCTCCATACAGCTCACAAATCCAAAATTTTCCTTTATGGACACGACAAAGCCCTGCTCCACAAGCAAATTTCGACCACCAGCCCGTCTGTCGCCACCATCTTGTCTGTCGGCCTTGTGTCCCCATCTACCGGCATCAGCACGCCCCCCTCCTCGGTCGTTGTCTCTGTCCCGTTCAAAACGTCCACTATTGTCTCTGTCCCGTTCAAAACGTCCACTACTGTCTCGTTCCCGGTCAAAACGTCCACTATTGTCTCTGTCCCGTTCAAAACGTCCACTAGTGTCTCTGTCCCGGTCAAAACGTCCACTATTGTCTCTGTCCCGATCAAAACGTCCACTGTTGTCTCTGTCTCGATCAAAACGTCCACTATTGTCTCTGTCCCGGTTAAAGCGTCCCGCGTCTCGTTCAAAACGCCCCCCACTGCTACTTCTATCCCGATCAAAGCGCCCGCCGCTAATGCTGCGCTCGTCTCCTCGAGCATCCTGTCGTGGCGCAAGGATTGAGGTTGAAGCATGTTCTGCGGTAAGAGATGGCATTTTTGGTGTAGGCAGAGGCGACGTGTCGTCGTCTTCGGCAGCCCAATCGCCAGGCTTTGGCGAGCGGAACATCTTACGGCTGCTGGATCTCAGTTTAGAATCTGCCACTTTTAATGTTTACTTCACAATAGTGAGTGGTGCACGCATTCACGCTACTTCACAATTTACAATTCCGTTAGAAACGTTTGTGTACTCAGCCTACAAAACGTTTCTAAATGGCATCCCCTTTTATCCAAGACTAATCCTATTTATTTATTTCTCATTTTTTTCTATTGAACCCCCACATTAAGCCATAAGAATGACTGTAGAATTAAAAGAGCTAGCACCGTTGCTGCTCAAGAAAGAACGTGCAAATGGTGAGATCAACCCGACAATACTAACAATTGTCTTGCGTAATGGAAAAGAGGCCAATGATCGTCGCAAACAGCTCGTCCAAGTCATTGAACGTCATCCCGTGCTGTCGGACCGTAATCTGATGTTTCGTAATCATACGGAACGCTACGAGTTTGGACTAAAAAAGGCGTTTCACTTTATCAAACTATTACAAGAAGGCAAATATGACGATCCAGAGGATCAACAGATTCTGTACAAGGCACTGGGAGAACATCTTGGCTTTGATGTGCATCGAGCGATGTTTATTCCAACGCTGGAGAATCAAGGAGACGATGAACAACGAGCGAAATGGCTACCATTGGCTAAAAAATACAAGATTCTAGGAGCTTATGCTCAGACGGAACTCGGTCATGGGTCCAATGTGCAGGGCATTGAAACTGTCGCGACATACGATAAAGCCACTCAAGAGTTTATTATTGACTCGCCTACACTAACAAGTCGCAAGTGGTGGCCAGGAGGGTTGGGTAAGACGGCCAATTATGCAATTGTGCATGCAAGACTGTACCTGGAGGAAAAGGATATAGGTGTTCAAGCTTTCTTGGTGCAAATCCGATCAATGGATGATCATCAGCCACTGCCTGGAATTGAAGTGGGGGATATTGGCCCTAAGGTCGGATTTAATGCCGTTGACAATGGATATTGTGCATTCCACAAGATTCGCATTCCTCGTGAAAATATGATGATGCGGTATGCCAAAGTACTGCCAGATGGGACTTTTGTTAAGCCTAAAAGTGACAAGTTAGTGTACTTGACTATGGTTCGAGTTCGAGCTTACCTGATTAAATCTTTTGGGGTACAGATGGGAGCAGCTACCACCATCTGCACTCGCTTCAGTGCTGCGAGAATTCAAGGACGCACTTCAGATAATAAGGGAGAGTTTCAAGTGCTGGACTACCAGAACCAGCAGCACAAACTTTTCCCGTTGATTGCGATTTCGTACGCTGCTCATTTTGCAGGTGGTTCACTTGTGGAAATGCACGACTCGACTATAGATGTGATTACGAAGGGTGGATCGGCATTTGGCGTCAAGTTGGCAGAGCTTCACGCCGTGTCGTCCGGCCTCAAGGCCTGGCTTGCTGAAAAAGTAAGCAATGGTGTCGAGACGTGCCGCCGTTTATGCGGAGGTCACGGATACACCCAGTCTAGCAACTTGGCATACTTGTTCGCCGAGATTGTCGGAGCCAACACGTACGAAGGAACTTTCGACGTGCTTGTACAACAGCATGCGCGCTACCTATTGAAGACGCTGTCATTCCTTCCAGCAAACGTAAAATCCGTTAAGTTTTTGAATCAGGCAGAGCGCTACAGAGACCCTAATTTACGCTGCAAAGCTCAAACTTACGAGGATTTTGGAAGCTTTAATCTGCTCCTTGAAGCGTTTCAGGTACGAGCTGCACGTATCATACTTGAGCTGGCCAGCCAGATGAAGGCCACCAACAATGACGGTAATGCCTGCATGATGCTTATGACTCGGGCATCTACTGCCCACACTGAGCTGATACTGCTCGAAGCGTTCATCCACGGAGCAATGAGCTTGCGCTCAGGTCCTGAGCAGCAGTCAGTAACGCAGCTGTGCTCGCTTTTCGGTGCGTGGTTGATCACCAAGTCCATCGGTGACTTTCGCCAGTATGATTACATCTCTTCTAGCCAAGTCGGCCTCGTGCGCCAGCAGGTTGTATGTCTACTGCCGATTATCCGCAAGAATTGCGTGCTGCTCACAGATGCCTGGGACTTCAGTGATTTCGAGCTGAACTCCACAATCGGGTGCTATGACGGTGATATCTATCGTGCCTTGGTGAAACGTGCTGCTGACGAGCCACTCAATAAGACACAGGTTCCGGTGGGATACGTGCAGTACTTGAAGCCGTTCATTCAATCTGACTTATAGGCATTATACGACTAAGGGTCGGAGTCAATGGACGTCCAAAGCTCTACAAAATCGTAAATTTCCATGTTCATATAAGTTTTCGTTTCAATCAGTCGAGGAAGGTGGCAAAACTTGTCAAATTTTACAGTTCAGACTAATGAGATCTTGCGACTTAGGGATCCATTCAGTGGCTCCACCTCAATGCACTTCACCAGAACACAGTAGATATCGTCGTTGTAGCACCCAATTGTGGAAAATTGCTGAAGTCCCAGGCGTTCGTCTGCGTCACCAGAGTGGCAAGACGGCTGAAGACCAAGCACCTGATTCGAACACACTAAACAATTTATGAGTGCAGCTCAACGGTATCGTGAGCGCTATGCGACCATACATTGCAGACGAAGAAAACTGCCGCGACGCCACGTGATGTGCCTACTGTAACAGGCCAATAGTTATACGAGTCCGTTCAGTAAATGATACTGAACGGGGAGGGTACGTGATACCTTAGACCTCCCACTTGGTGAGGCACATCTATGTGACCCACACTCGTGAATGTAATATCCGCACGTAGGGTGAAATGGGGTTACACTAGAGGTGGTACCCAGACTCAGACTCAGTGGGTAATTACCCATGCCCTTACTCATGGGTTGGGTATGGGTAATTGGCTTTACCCAGCCCACTTACCCATGGGTACCCATGGGGCACCTGTACTAATTTTCCGGACATACATCAGACAAACCTGCTCGTATTGATTGATCTCTAATTGTTATTTGTATTGGTGACTCATTATCCCTTTCTTGGTGAATGTCTACCGCACATATGGTGCAAAGCAACTGGAGCCGGTGGCACAGGTCATGCAAAGCAAACTCAAGAAATATATTAAGCTGGCGTTTAAAACAGATTGCATACTTCTTTGCAACGGTGTCAGATCCGAGATGAAATATCAGCTATTTCAAGGACCTCAACGAATGGCCGCAGAAATTATGGGCTCTTGACCATAGCCCAGAAGCAATCGAGTTGCTTTTTGTGAATGCAGCATACATGTTTAAGAAGTCAGCAGAAGAAATTTTGCCTCCGCCACCTGTCAACACTGGTAACGACAAGAGCGATGACGACATGGAGCCAGATATCTTCACCTTTGCTACAAGCAGAGTCCTACAGACCGCAGAGAGCAAAGTCGAAGAAGAAGCCCAAACTTATATTGCTCGTTTTGCCTGTTCACACAGACTAGTTGCCATTGGAGTGGCGGTGTAACAGGGCATCTAGTTACACGTAAACATTGAGTAATATACTTAATGTTTGGTCTAAAAGTATCCATGATTACTTTTGACCTGTCACTTGGGTGCGATACACAAACGTGATCCACCCTCGTAAATGTGATATCCATTTATGGATTCACATGGGAAGGGATGACGCTAGTTGAAGCTAGGCATCGCGACGTCTCAGAAGGACGTCATTCGCAAGCTTAAATCTAGATTTAAGTTCATGCGTCAGGATACGCTTCTATAGAGTCGCGTATCCGATCTATATATATAACCAATCAGTAGTTAAATTTATATTTAATTATAACTCATTAAATATAGCACAGTCTTGAATTTGCTTAAACATACGCACCACGCACGAGAAGCTGAAGAAGCTTCTGCGTGACGTCGGTGCCTTCTTGTTAAGAAGTTCGTTGCACTCTCGCTAAAGCGAAAGGCAATTGATGGTACGACTGCTTAAGCAGTCGACCAAACACACAACCACCCTCGCACGCGAAGGTAAGACGGTCTAACCGCTTCTTCGCTTGTGCTGAAGGTGTGTGCTAAGTAGCACGAGGCAACTTCGTAGAAGTGTCCGTCTACACATGTACTTAGTACATTGCTATCGATTATCGAATCTTAATCGAATAGGATACGATATTACCGTATCCTTTTTGAAGGGAAGTATCAAGAATACATTTTATGCAATATAGAAACTCTACTTTTCAATTTGCGCCTTCGGGAAACAACGGACAAAGACGGAGACCTCCGAGAGCCAGGAACTGTTCCCCTTTTCCTTGTATGGGAAGACTTTTATAGTGGGTTCAAGGTAAAGGGTGGGGGCTTCTCCTCGCTGCGCGAGCTCTGGGAGGCAGCGTAGCGTGTGAATCGTAAGGGTAGCGGTCCGCAGGATATTCCTGGGTGTTGTGCCGTCGAGATATCTAGCACCACATTAGTTCCTTCCCTTTACTATCTAGTTCAAGTAGTCGACCCTTTCGATGAGCGCGAATGACGGTTACACGAAGGGAACTACTTTGAAAGCCTTGAAGACCCCGTTGAGATCCAAAAACGGTTTGTTTTGTTATGTATAGTAGCAGAAGGCCAGACACTTTTCGTCCAGTGGTGCGTTTAGGAAAGTCTGGAAACGATCGTAATAATTCAAGGTTGATGGGAAAAGCAGAGCAAGTCGACCCCGCGGAAGAGGCCAGGGGATTACGTCATGGTGGCTAGTTGGTCTCTATAGTGGTACAAGGCTCCCATCCAAGCATCCACTGTCCCCTGAAACAGATTTCTCCGAGTCCGCGAGCAGCCTAGCCATCCGTTCAAGACTGCGCACAAATTTAAACTAACTTCGGACTTGGTAAACGGACCAGTTAACGTGTCTTGAGAAGAGTGCCCCCCCCCCGTGACGTCCGACGTATCGAGCCAGCAGAATGGGAAAGCGAGGAGGAGAATGATCGCGTCATGGTAGAAGACTGAGGCAACCACATAAACACATCTTGCACATTATTAAACTCCCAGTAAATAGACAATCTGAGCTTTTTCTCAATATAGAAACTTTAACCGTAAGATTTCGGTATGATGTTACAACCTTCGTGTAACCTAGAGGTGGTACCCATGAGTCTGGGTTGGGTAATGGCGTTTCCCACGACTCAGACTCATTTAAATTTCATTACCCACGACTCGGAATCATACCCGCGGGTAATTACCCATGTTACCCGCGCAATAAACATGCAGAGTTGCGGATTATCAAACAATATTGATGAGTATTGTGATATCTAGTAATAAAAGTATTTATACGTCTCCCACGTGGGAAGTTTAAGCGGGCAAGCGAAAGTGCTGACAAAGAAAACAGGTAGTCCCTTGCCGACAAAAGAACGTGACCCTGTGCATTATATCCTTGAGGCACAGCTTTTAGGGAAAAGCGAAGTTTTATCGCTTTGGTATGTCCTTCTAATTTGAGAGAAAATTCTCTCAGACGGAGTTGAAGACGCGGGAATGGCCGGATAAAATCTTGCCATGTCGGAAATTGCAGCTGATGCAGTGCCCGCCTGTAGACGGACACTTCTACGAAGTTGCCTCGTGCTACTTAGCACACACCTTCAGCACAAGCGAAGAAGCGGTTAGACCGTCTTACCTTCGCGTGCGAGGGTGGTTGTGTGTTTGGTCGACTGCTTAAGCAGTCGTACCATCAATTGCCTTTCGCTTTAGCGAGAGTGCAACGAACTTCTTAACAAGAAGGCACCGACGTCACGCAGAAGCTTCTTCAGCTTCTCGTGCGTGGTGCGTATGTTTAAGCAAATTCAAGACTGTGCTATATTTAATGAGTTATAATTAAATATAAATTTAACTACTGATTGGTTATATATATAGATCGGATACGCGACTCTATAGAAGCGTATCCTGACGCATGAACTTAAATCTAGATTTAAGCTTGCGAATGACGTCCTTCTGAGACGTCGCGATGCCTAGCTTCAACTAGCGTCATCCCTTCCCATGTGAATCCATAAATGGATATCACATTTACGAGGGTGGATCACGTTTGTGTATCGCACCCAAGTGACAGGTCAAAAGTAATCATGGATACTTTTAGACCAAACATTAAGTATATTACTCAATGTTTACGTGTAACTATATGCCCTGTTACAACATGATACACCGATGTTTGGACGACATATCGTTCAATAACGATGTCTGCATATTATAATTACTGTTATAGTAATTAATCTAGTGTATGGTACTTAAAGTAGGATTAATCATAAAAAAATTAATGTATAAATAAAATTAGTTCTCATTTTGAGTTAAAGATCTCAAGTCTCTTTGACTTGTTCTCGTGTGCACTTCGTACGTATGTTCTTTGAATCTTTAAGCTTCTAGTTTATTATTGCACTCTGTGCGTTGGTTCTCTGAACCTGAAGCTTATTTTTTGTAGACTAGAAAAGTCTCCAAGTTCCTTAGAACAGGGTAACTTTTAAGTCGTTTAATTAGTTCCTTAGAAGAAAGAAACTTTAAGCCGTCAAATTTAGTTAGTTCTATAGAATTAAGAGGCTTTCAGCCTAACATTCTTCCTCTGGCTTAAGAGCTGTGCAGCTCCGCTACACTTGGTAGCACTTGTAGTCAATCCTACACCTGAGTCTTAAAGACTGACCCTCTGTGAGGATGGAGAGTCAAAATCACCTCTCTGAGGCGCAATGACGCGCACTAGCTGAATTATCTGCGATCGTTGGGCCCGTTAAAATCGAGACCCTTTTGGCCCAAGGTCCGAAGTCCTCAATGCTCGCCTTGAGGCCTTCATGCGATATGAGTCAACGCTATTCGGGCAGGTCCACGACCAGGCAGCGTCAGCTGCGCCTACCCACAGTATATCTTGGTACCTGTGACCGATGCAGAGCCAAAGGATCGCCCACTCATTTTAAATGTAAAAACCTTTGAGGGGAAGGAGGAAGAAATTCTTCTCCTCTGGATCCGAGAGGTTGAAATGGCAATGGATGTCGCCATGCTTGTGTCAGATAAGCAACGAGTTGGCCTGGCCATTTCTAAGGTCGGTGGAAGAGCTAGAAAGTGGGCTCTAACGAGCGATGTCTCTGTAAATGCCGCATTTCCCAAATGGTAAATGCTTAAAAAGCAATTAACTTGCGTGTATGGACCGCCTAATCAGGCTTATCGTGTGCGCTCACGCTTCTGAGCTATCCGACAGGGTAAGAAAGAATTGTCGGACTATGTCTAAGAGTTGAGAACTGTTATTGCTCCTATGCAGCAGGAAGCTCTGGAAGAGGAAGTCCG